GAGCTGCCTGCCGTTGGATCTTCCAAGAAGGAGTGGTGCCTTGGCTTCAGGATGTTCAGAGGGTCTCAGCCCTGCCAAGGCTTGCTAAGGCCCTTCTCTAGACTCTTAGACCCTAGTTCTGACGGCGTTGCTTGGCACCACGGGGCGGCTCGCCCACCACATCCCCTTCATACCTTGGCTTCGCGATTGCAAGTCGCATGGCAGGGCCAAGTTACCTCGGCAATTTCCCCATGCCCCGGGTGCAGACAGTCCAAAACGCTTGTCTCGCAAATGGGGAAGCTGCAAGGAAGAGACAAGATCTAGAAGGCGGGACGTCGCGGTAGCAAAAGAGCACAGGCCATCTACAGCCATAGATTCAGATGTCTGCAGTCGTGGGCACGCAGAGTACTCGGGGCCTGGGGAGGTTAAGAAGTTGAATTCGCTCTGCATGTTCTTGGGTGTGCCGCCACAATGCCGCAACGTGCAGGGGAGGACTACGCAGTGGACGCATGGGCCAACTGGGCAGGTGCACCGTTCGAGCTCGCTGTGTGAGATATGCCAGACGGTCAACCCCACTGCGAAGTCGCAGCTTTCGCCCACATCAGTGACCCCGAGGTGGAGGCGCGGCGCGGGATGCGTTCAGGCCACTACATCGCGTACGTACAGTGCAAAGGCTGTTACTGGTTACTGGATGTTACTGGTTACCGCAGTTGATTGCCGCAAGGTCGCGGCAAGCCCTTAATGCTCAACCTGTGAACCGCGAGCAGCCTGAAGCAAATGATCCACGGAACAGAATCCGCCCGAATCAGCCAGGTGGCGCACGCAGAGTCGAGAGGACGGTTCCAAGTGCGGTCGCCACAACGACCTGGAGGGGGGGAGGGGGTGGTTGTGCATCGAGAGTAGAGGGGGTGGTTGTGCATCGAGAGTAGAGTGTAGGGCAGTGTCGGAGTTAGGGATTCTAGGGTTCAGAGCTTAGGTACGCAAACGAAAATCTTTGGCAGCTCGTCCTCTGCACCATGAATGTTCCGAAGAAGTCGAATAACAACGAGAGAGCCGGCAAGATCAGAATTGTCTCTTCCGACCACACCCTAATTGTAGTCTACATGAACCGGCATCTACGACATCATGGACCATGCCCTCCAATGCCCCAGCCCAGTTCGCTTGCACCTCGACGCCGGGGAGCCGCAGCAGGCGTTTCAGCAACGACCTGAGTGTCTTCCGATAGCACTTGAGCACTTGCTGATGCCAGACTGCGTTGGGTGGCGGAGAGTTCATTCCTTGCCTGGGCTCCAACTCCGCAAAGCAACTTGGAATAAGTGATGCAAGTCCGGCAGTGCCTTCGAGCAAGGACAAGCAGTGCTTGTTGCCTCCAGGCGGCTTGCTGCGCATGACCTCAGGGAACATTGCTGGAATGTGAACAAACCTGAACAGACCTCAATGTCCTGAGAAGCCTTAGCTTTCGGTTCGTTGCAGGGCTGAGGGCTGAAGTCTCCCCAACATTGGCAGGAAGGAGCACGTCATGCCAAGCAGAATTCGAAGAATTGTTTTTGTCCTGCCCCGCCACACATGGCACGTTCTGGCAAGCCACTTCTACATCCCTCTTGCCGCAATGCGCGTCTTGCAAAGCAAGGCGTTTTTCGGAGCTTGCGATGTGCAGGCAAAGCAGCCTGCCCGGCCCGAGCCAGCTGGCTGGCAAAAGGAGAAGCAGAAGACTTCCCACGAATCCGCTATAATCATATTTTTGCATGCAACGTACCCATTGCCAACAACATACCTACGAAGTCTACCACATCTCTGCTCAAAGCCTCAGAGGGGCCCGATCCCTTCTTCAAGAATCCGGCGTCTCAGCGTCTCAGAAGCGGCGCAAGGCTTGAAGAAGATCCTGTAGATGCAAGATGCTCCCGTCCTTGGCCAGGCAGCTCTTTGAACCCAAACTCCACACAACACTTGCATTCCACACGCGAAGAGAACAGCCTTCCGTCCCGCAAAGCGTCGTTCTTCGACGAATCTTGTGGAGGCTCCTGCATAGCTTGCCCTACCGGACATGCACCAACCTGCAATAGACTGCTCATTTCTTACTCGTGCTTATGAGACACGACGCCTTGGAGGTTTTCTTGAGGTTTCGATAGCACAGCCGACTCCGGGTCCTCTGCGGTCCTTTGCCGCTTGGAGGGCTTCCCTGGCAGGGCCACCACAAGCTTTCGAGTATTGAAGGTGACTTTTCAGCCCAATGGTGCCTGCACTGTTGTCCGGTGCATCCGGGGCTGCCTTGTCATCAAAACTTTGGGGACCCCTGGGACCACAGTTGGGACCCTGAGCCAACACGCTCAGCACAAGATGTTTTAAAGAAGATCTGAGAAGATGGTAACCACCGATGAAAGACAGGGTGAGAAGATCACGTTGTGTTCCTGGAGCTCTGGCATCTTCGGTGTCCCAAACCTAGTTGCAAGTGTAGGATTCGTTTAATGGGTCGGGCCCTGGTTCTTCGTTTTCTAAGCAATGCCGGGAGCAGGAAGCAAAGAAGTGACGATGCAGCTCAGAGACCTGCTCATCACATGCAGCAGTTTGCGCACGCCGTGACCTTAGCCAGGACCCTGCTCCGATGTGCTGACAACAGGGTTTACTTGACCGTCTGCGCTCATGGTTTTCAGGCTCAGGGGTCCGTAGCCCTCGCCTATGAGTAGCTGGCCGTAGCTAGACTGGGCGCGTTACTTGGAAATCTCCTGCGCTTCTCTGAGAATCCTGGCCACGGATCTGGGAGTGTTCTTCGGTGGGAGGGCGCAAGATACTGCCATGTCAAGCGCTCCATGGCTTGACCCACCAGCAGCCATGCCCAGGGCCTTGTGACGAAGGATTCCGTCGCGTCCGCGGCGATCTGCAAGATCTGGCCGGGTGGCAGCTTCGGTCTTGCCCAATACAAGCTCATCTCTACTTCCTTGCAACTGGCTCAAAGAGCAATACGAACCGTCAATAATGATAACAATGATAACAACAATGATGCTCGTCACAAGAACAGCACAATAGAAATATTCGCAACAGGTGTATAGCAATAATTAGAATAAGTCTGCAAGCACCAAAGGCGCTTCCGGGTCGCTTGTCTCGCAGCCACCCCGCCGCAGGTAGTGCTCCACGACGAACGAGGGCAGCTCGCCCATTGCGAGGTGTGACAGATGTGGGGGTTTACGATATGCGGGGTACCTTATTGGGGTGCTTAAGATAAGGGAACCCTACTACTATTTGGGGGACTACAAGAGGGGTCTTGTGTTTGCGCAAGCCCCTATGTGCGACTATACACTTTGACTCTACTCCCCTCAGTAAAAACACTGATAGTGCGATGGGATTATTAACTATTCCCTTTGGGTTTTGTTACATGAAATTGCAATAAGATGTTTGCCCATTCTCTTGGGCTTTTCTAACCCAAGTCGACAATGAGGCCGAAGCTCTTACGACGGCGATAGACTATACCAACAAGGCTGCGAGTCAAGCTTGTGAGAGTCACGCGTGTGTGCTGTCTTCCCCCCGTCAGGTCCTACTGTGTCAGGCTGCCGGCCAAAACAGCTTGTCATGGCTTGCGCGTTGCGAACTCAGCTGAAGATGGTTCTGTCAAGTGCTGCCAGACGACGATGAGAAGGGTCATTGCGGAGAAGAGGACGGCTTCTGCATCCCAGCGATGCGGGTGCGTCAACGTCCATCCCAAACGATACCTGAAGCTGGCTGAACTACATCTAGAGTCTGAAAAACATGGTACGGAGTCGGTCAGTAGTAAGCTGCTGTAAGACTCAGTCGGGAACCATGGACTGGTGCATATGCTGAATTCTTCCGGCAAACATGGACACATCCACAGATTCACTGACATGTCGAGTGTCCGTCAGCCTTCTCAGACCCTTCTCAGCAAAAGATAGACCTTTACACCTAACCCTGACCCCTACAGAAACCCCAAAAGCCCCAAAAGCCCTACAAGCCAGTTTGGGGTTTAACAAGATGCTCGAGGTGCGCACACAAAGAGCCAAGGCTCATCGTGGCCGCGCCGCCCTTGAGAGGGCCGCCCTGGAGATGCGGAAGAGCGCAGATCTGCTTCAAGGTCCTGGGACGGGAGGGTTTTTGGGTTTAGGGTTTTAGGCGTTTAGGGGGTTTTTAAGGGTTTAGGGCTTTTAGGGCTTTTAGGGCTTTTAGGGCTTTTAGGGTTTAGGGTTTAGGGTTTAGGGCGGCTCAGGGTTTAGAGGGTTTGGGGGGCTTGGGGTTTAGGATTTCAGAAGGGGACGGTGCTATGAGTTGTGAGGCTTCGGGCTTGGCAGGCTGTGGCCAACTTTCGACCTCTGGGTTGAAGAGCGCCACGGGTTTTAGAGGACTGCAGGGCTCATCCAACAATGAGGCGCACCTCAAGCCCCCAGCCCAAAACCCTCAAAACACCCCTCGACATCCCCCCCCCCGCAAAGCCCCAAGAATCCCCCAATTCACCTCAAAAACCCTCAAAACACCCCTCGACATCTCCCCCGAAAAGCCCCAAGATTCCCCCTAAACCCTAAACCCGAAACCCTAAACCCTAAACCCTAGAACTGAAGCCCCAGCTGCGCCGCGTGGGTGAAGGCAGCACTGGGAGCCTGGGCGCCGAAGGCGCACAGCGCGAAGCCCAGCTTCCAGCCGGCCTTGGCGGGGAAGTTTTTATGGTAGCACATAGAATTAGGATTGAGGGTTTGGGGTTTGGGGTTTAGGGTTTAGGGTTTAGTGTTTAGGCACCCAAAAGCCCAGGAACAACTCTTCCGATACTAATTTGTGGTGTAATGCAAGTAAAAAAGTTTCCTCTCGATGGCACTGATTAGTCAAGCCTCTTTTCCTCAAAATGTTAGTAGGAAGCCGTTGTTGCCTCTAGATACCTGTAGAGACGAAAGGAAAACCTGCGCCCATGACCTCTATTTCCTCTTGACTGGAAAAGACTCGATATCCTCCACGTTGAAAGGAAACCTGTATTTCCTCTGTATTCTACTAGGAAACCTCGATTCTCGAGATCCGATTAGCTCTGGTGTTTTGGTAGCAAACCGTTGTTTTCCAACAACTTCTGCACTTTTGCAAACCCCTATTCCCTCCTTGTCATATTCAGAAAGCTTTTGTTCCTCCAAAACCAGCGCGAGTTCGGGCATCATGCCTTGGCTTTGTAGCGGCACACCCACCCAACCCCCCCACCCCCTTCCCCCCCCACCCCCGCCACTTTAACCGATTTGCAGCAGTTGCACGGGGTTTGGCCTAATTTTCCACCAAAAACTCTGCACGTCGTCACCCCCTCAAAAACCAGTGGAAGGGCCAGCCCCGGCCGAGAAGGGCCCGACCTTAGGCCTTTGGTTGACAAGGGCTTTGGGGATCGAACTCTTGACACCACAACTTAAACCGTTTGGTTGGGTCTTGTGGGGGGCGAGACAGATCTACACCTGAGCAAAGTCGAAGAGCGCCCCCCAAGTCAAAACCTGAACCCCCCGCCCGCCTTGACAGGCCCCGGTATGCGATTCACCAGCTGTGCCGCGCCGAGAATTGCCAGCAGCAGCGAGGCGACACCGACCATCCTCGGCAAGAACAGGAGGTTTAGGATTTTGGTGTGTGGGTCGTATAGGGATTGCTGGGTTAGAGATAGAGGAATTACTTGCTGAGGCTGGCGGGAGTCCCTTTTCCATCATTCCCAACCCCCCTCTCACCGAACACACCCCTCTCAATCAATTCCTAATTCCTCCCTCAGTTTTCCTCAAATCCCCCCCTCCGGACCCCCGTCCCCTCCTTAACAAAGCCCTAAACCCTATGCAGTGCGGCGTAATGGTGGGTTTCGGAGCTTGATCTCCAGCTAGAGGGGAACAAAAAAGAAGGCAGTTGTTGCGCCCCGGGGATGAAAAAAGGGTTTACTAAACCTGCAACCGCAAGTCTCACACCCTGACACTAAACCCGAGCTTCACAGAAATGAAGCAGCCCGGGCGGCACAGAGTAGGTGCCCAGGACGTTCTCCCAAGCTTCCTCTCGCTTGGGGTGGACCAAGAAATTCAAGTCAGGGCTTGTGGTCTGGGATGCAGGGAGGTGGCTTTCTGGGAAACTGTGAAAGGGACCCAGCGGCTTCGTAACTCCATGAGGCTTAAACTCACTTATCTGGAGCGCTTCTCATGTAACTTGCTTTACTGAGCCCAACCACTCAACCTCAGCAAGTCACCCAGCTGTGGGCTGCCCAACTTCTCCGAATCATCCCCATTTCTGCGCGGCCTGGGCAAACATTGCACATAGCTTCTCTCGCTAAGCCCAGAACCAGGATTGCGGACAACAGCCAAGCAAGCTACTTCAACTGGCAAGAAGGGCACTGGCACAGCCAAATCAGCACATGTCGTTTGCACAACTAGAAGTAGCATTGCGGGCGTCAGGCTTCCTGAAACCCTCGACCCCATACCCTTCACCATCCACTGGCTCCTCGCCGTAGAGCTCTTTGTACTCCCCTGCCATGTCATGAGCCATCACACACGAAGAAGCCTTGTTTTCCAAGAGGCACCCCCCCTTTTTTTCCGCCCTGCGGTTCCTGGTTGCGCATCAGATGGGCGCTTCTGCAACCGGTTCAGTGGCAGGCACCCCTGCATCCCTCGGGCCTCCTCTGAGGTCTGAGATGGCCATCAGGGCCGTGATGGAAGTCACCTTGTCATGGGGAAACTCAGTGACTTTCGTGCGGCCAATTTAAAGGCCTTTACCAGCACGTATTTGTAGGAAGCGGCATGTTGCGGCCAGAAGACCCTAGGAGTTCCCTTTCGGTGCTAGCTCACAGCCACAGTTGGAGAAGGGAACAAGCTTTGCCGTGGCACGCCGATGCTCAGGCATGGATTCCCAGTCCTCGGCGCTGAGCGCGGCCGAAGTTCAGCAAGCACTTGCCAAGAGTTTACCCTTTAAGGTCAGGGTGTTTGCTCCCTAAGCCCTGGACCCGAAAACCCGAGACCACCCCTGACACCCCAACCCTGATGCCTGAATCTCGACTTCAACCCCACTAGCTCAGCGTGAGGTTTCTGCAAGCACCGACGTTCCCAACCCCAGACTCGGCGGTCCTTCTGGGTGCTGCTACCGAAGTCAATAGTATGGCAAGCTTGTTTTTGGGGGGGAGGCGGGGGGGGGAAGGCGCGACCTTGGGGAAAGAAGTCTCGGGAGTACCCAAAACCCTAAACCCTAAACCCTGAAACCCTAAACCCTGAAACCCTACACCCTAAACCCCTAAACCCCTAATTAAACCTCCAAACCCTAAAGCCTAAACCCCCTAAACCCTAAACCCTAAACCCTGAACCGGAAGCCGCGCGGCAGGAAGGCAAAGAAGACCAGCGGAGGACCCGAAGCCGAGATGCCTCCCCGCCCAGGACTCCCAGCTCCAAGGAGGTTTCACAAACCATAAACTGGGTTTAGAGTTCCGGGTTGAGGGTTTAGGGTTTAGGGGGGTTTAGGGTGGTTTAGGGTGGTTTAGGGTGGTTTAGGGTATTTTAGGGTCTAGGGTCTAGGGTCTAGGGTCTAGGGTCTAGGGTTTAGGGTTTAGGGTTTAGGGTTTAGGATTAGGGGGACCTTGGGGGTTTAGCGCCTAGGGTGGTTTAGGCCTTCGGGTTTTGGCTTGCATTGTGATAATAAACAAAAGACCCCCTTCCGCCGTGCCCGACTTGGGCCTCGATATCCCGAAAGCCCAGCAAGCTCTGCATAGGCAATATACCTCAGGAGTTCAGGGTTTAGGTTTAGGATTTGGGGTTCAGGGTTTAGGGTTCAGGGTTTAGGTTTTTCGGTTTAGGGTTTAGGGTTTAGGGTTTAGGGGTTTAGGGGTTTAGGGGTTTAGGGTTTAGGGTTTAGGGTTTAGGGTTTAGGGTTTAGGGTTTAGGGTTTAGGGTTTAGGGTTTAGGGTTTAGGGTTTAGGGTTGAGGGTCTAGGGTCTAGGGTTTAGGGTTTAGGGTTTAGGATTTACTCTCCTCGTAGGGTTTCGGGTTTAGGGTTTAGGGTTTAGGGTAGGCCAGGCTGCTGATTGGGGAGCCAGGACTTCTTTTTGGGGGGGAGGGGGAACGGGGGAGTCGATTTTTATCCGCACTGAGCCCCAAGAATGCAGCCCGAGAAACCCACTGGAAAAAAGAAAGTTGGGCCACAGGCAAAACCAAGCTAGGCTCAGGGCTGTGGAAGGCTGGTGACAGCGATGGTGGTACCTGCCCGGGCGATGTTCCGGGCTTCATTTGGTTTTAATCAGGGTGTAGGCCTTAAATGCGTTAATTGGGCGGTTTCTTCCGAGTTGACTGATTGATTAATGAAAGCATGCTACAGGTTCAAAGTTTAAATAGGGGAGAATAGCAACGAGGCGAAACCTTGATACCTGAATTGCTCGGGCCTGCGATCACGTCGCCAATGGACCACTGCCGCCACTGGTAGATGAATCGCGGCATGGCAGCAGTCACGCAAGGCTTGGGTCCTAAATTTAAATCCTGCAGCGGGCTCGCGTCACAGATGACGCAATGAGATTGATCTTCGCGTGGCCTCTAAGGAGGAGGTCCATGCGGGTAGGGTGCTAGCATGCGTGGACAAAGCTTGGTGTGATGACAGTGTATGCCTGCTTGCATCTGACAGCAACTGCTGGCTATGAAACACTGAGGCAGTCAATTGTGTATCGGACACCATCACAAAGAATCTCAACACACATCAGCATCTCAAAGAGGTTCACAGCCACTTAGTCGATATTCATCTTCAATCACCCACGGCAAAGATGCAGGGGAAAAAAAAGCTGAGGCTTCTCGTATCTCCAACAGATTCCAACAGTATGCCTCCTAGGATTTGCCGACTCGGACGACTGGGAGCTGCAAAGCTCGCGGCGCAGGAAGCATAGGGCTTCAGCACTCGGAGGGTTTCCGAAAGGGTTTCCGAAAGGGCCCCGTTGATTCCCCACTTTTGGGGATCTTCCCCCCTTATACTAACAGTCCTTGATGGGGATTATCGTACTCCCTATGATTTTCCCGATTAGGGAGCATCCCAACCCCACAGGTACTACAAAGAGCCCACTCTGGACTCTAGGCTTGGTGGCTTCGGAAGGAGCCGGCACCACCTGATGCTCAGCCTTCATGCGGGCACCTCGCAATCGTGGGCTCTGTTCTGCTGGGCAGGGCTCACAGGGTTCGGGGCCTTTGAGGGTTCTGGGTTTAGGGTTTTAGGGTTCGAGGTTTTGGGCCATTTGGGGTTTGGGGTTTAGGGCTTAGGGCTCAGGATTCTGGGTTGAGCGCCTTGAGTTTTTAGGGGTTGGTGGGACAGGCTTGATGGGGTCCCCCCTACCAGAAAACCCTCTGCAGCGCGAAAACGATGCAGACAAGCCAACCCAGGGCCCCGGCGCTCGCCGTTCAGGAGCTCCTGTTGAACACACAAGGGCTTTGCTTAGGGTTCAAGCTCACTAAGAAGCCCCGAGCACCAAATCCTGGAGCAGGCATCAGGCTCACATGTTGCTCCAAAGTTGCAAAGTGCTCAACAAAATGACCCACGGAATGAAACAAGTAAAGCATTCGGAGCCGCCGTAACCATGCGCCTATCTGATCACCGACTGACCGGTTCAGCCCCAAACGCCCGCAAATCTCCTCAAAGCGCACGTGCTCTGCCGAGAGCCGGCGTGACTCAAAGACATCCTTGCGGATGCGAGGAGTCTGCGGAACCATCAGCTACGAGGGAGTTTGAGCTTCTGGGGCGGGATGTGCAGCACGGATCCGGCCTTCTTCCAGCTGACCCAGCAGGTCGACATCACCTTGGCAAGTTGAAGCGCATGCTTCCAGAGCTCACGACACCTGGTGCCCGAGAGTCGATTTGCAGCTGTATGCGCATCTGCTTCGAAATATGTTCGAGCACTTTGAAGACGACTGCCAACTTGTCAGAGTCTCTAGGAGACAGCGACACTCTTTTCAAGGTCTTTCCATGTCCAGCAACCAAGCAGCTGAGGTAACAGGTCATCCTAGCTACTGTACCACAAAGTACAAAAACCTATATGCTGCAGACGAGCGCTTGAATCCTTGAAGCCTTGAAGACTCCTGAGAGTCCTGGCTCCACGAGACTGGCCCAGCAGGAACTTCTTCACCGCCATCTCGACGGACTTGCCCTTGGCCTGTTGCTGATCCATGGGCCATGGGGGATTCCTGAAGCATGTTGAGGATTCCTGGAGCCAATTTCTAGGAGCGCTGGGCCTTGAAAGGGACGTCTCGAGTCAGAAGACAAAAAGTCTCCGCTTCATTTTGTTCCTGTCCTCCTCTACCCCCCCCCCGCCCCTCCTCCCCAGAAAACAAATACACGAAGCCTCCACCGCGCACCCATTCCTAAGTCCTTGTCTGCTTTGGGGCGTAGCCGGCTGTGTGCCACAGCCCCGTTAGACGAAGTACTCGGCCTGGCCACAGCTCCTTTCATGGGTCCAATTTTGGAGCATCCTCTCGAAAGAACTCCTGCGCCTGATAAGCATCCTCTTGCTGAAGCATGAGCTCAAGCCATGCAGCCGATGCACTTGTGAACCCTAGCCCAGGAGTGACCACGCCCCGCGAATGCGTCAGTGGACCCAAGAAGGAACCCTGTCCAGGAATCTGAAGCCCTGACCCTAAATGTTGAATTAGTTGCATTGCAAGGGCTCTCTGCATGTCGCTCCGCAGAAGTCGAAGCTGTGACAATACAACTGTTCGCGGCGGCTTTGTCTCTCGCACACATGGCCTGCTTCGCACGTCGCTCCACACGATTCTCTTTCAAGGCCTGGGACGCGCGCAAGAATTTAAAGAAGGAGAACATCCGAGCTTCTTAGCGGGATTCGCCAAGCCTGCTGGAAGCCAGTGCAGGTTCCCCCCACATTGTCAGATTTCCTCCAGCCATCAAAGAAAGCCAAGGCGAGCGCCCGGAAGCAAACAGTGAGCATCCTGGGCCGCAACGGCTCTCAAACTTTTACTGGTTCTTGAGCAGCGAATGAAGGAAGTAAGTACTGTACAGAGTCCGCTCCCAATTCCTGCCAGAAAGGAACTTGAAACCCTAAACCTGCGTCCAGGTCGAAGGTTACACGGTTGTCTTGCATGAAACCTACTTTAGGGTGTGGGGTTAAGGCTTTAGGATTTAGGGTTGAGGGTTTAGGGTTGAGGTTTAGGGTTTGGGGTTAAGGCTTTAGGATTTGGGGTTTAGGGTTGAGGGTTTAGGAGTTAGGGCTTCAGGGCCATACTTGACGACACGACATGCACGCATCCAAGCGTCCCCTTGGCGTCACCATCCTTCCACTTCGCAACTGCCTGCTCCAGCGCCTGACCATGGTGCTCTGCCAGCTAACGGCGAGTCTCCAGGTGCCAGGCTTTAGGGTTTAGAGGTTTAGGGTTTAGGGTTTAGGGTTTAGGGCTTAGGGTTTAGGGTTTAGGGTTTAGGGTTTAGGGTTGCCTGAAGAGCACTTACCTTCTCCCCATCCCTGCCTTTGATGCCCCGCGTCTCATGTGATCGAGTTCGGCTAGGCCTGCACCAGTTGAAGACACAGCGGAGAATGTTTTCTTCACCCCCTTTGGTGACAACCGCACCCTTGTACCCCAAAAGCCTCCTGAGCCATAATAAGCACCAAACCCCCAAACCTTAATCTCCAAACCTTACACCTTGAACATCCCCAAACCACAATAGCCTTGGCTCCACTTCTGAGGCCCAAACGCTCTTGTAGAGCCGCTTCATAGCCGCCCTTTACCTTCCAGAAAACTCTCGAGGTGTGAGATTTGAGGTCTTGGCGGTCAGGGGTGTGGTTGAGGAGGGAACCCTGTAACAGCTGATGAGTTGAAGGTCGGTTTTGGGGATTGACAAATTGAGGGTGGCACGCCCCTCACAGATTTCGAGATACCTTCGCTGCTGGATGCAGTTGGCTGCGCAGTCGTTTGTCTCCTTGCAAACCCTTTTTCCAGCTGTGTCTCTTCTATCGACAGCATCCAAGAGCCTGTGAGGGCTACGAATTGGGGCACTCCACATCTGGTAAGATGGCTGGGTTAGACATGTAAAGAGTGCCACAGGTGAAACATGCGACTGTTGCTAGTCTCTTATGGCAACCGCCGTTTCTCCTCCCTACCTGCTGCGAAATGATTTGCCTACACACCCTAGATCTTCCTTGACGAGGTCCGCAATTCCTACTTGAGGTCAAGTTCATCTTTGTGCTTCCAAGTTTTGAATATCAGGAACTGCATTCATGGCAGAGGCATCTGCAACTGCAAGTGCTTTAAGCTCTTTGCGGTTGCAAATGGCGGAGATGACTCCGATGACTCCTAACTGCCAGAGCATCGGGCTGATTCAATTCTGCCATTCTCCAAACCGCAACGCAGGCGGTGCTCTGGAAAATGAATGGAACCGCCCGAGTCCTTGCTCGGGAGGTTGCTGGACGAATGTCGGCTCAGTCACTATTGTTGAACCCCCTGGGAACCAGCATCCGAAATTTTTGCGCAGCTGCATGTGAACTACATGTGACAAAGGCGTAGCCGCACTTTTGGATGCCAAGTGGCTCGATCAGCTTTTTTGTTTCCTGCCAGGATCACATGCAACAACAGCACATACAACCTTCCAGCCATGTTCACAAGGGATGAGTAGTTCTCTTGCAAGTTCAGACGGCCGGAAGCCCAACTCAATCCACGGAAAGATCCGACAGAAGGCCCCGACCGAAACCCGAACTCTGAAATGCGCGGGTCCTCCTCGATTTGTCTGCATTTTTCCGCTACCTGATGGGGACTGGGCACATGCAACCTTCAAGACTGTTGGCATGCCTTGACAGTCACGTTGCGATTCGGGCTCGCAGGCAGTGCAAGCTCGCAATGCGCAACAAGACCAAACCACAGCGTTTTCACTGCACTGACTAGCTGATAGACAAGCGGACACGATTCTTCCCCGGGGACGGTTGAACTGTTGACATGGGGTGGAAATCACAATCAGAAAAAGACCGTGATGACGATCGTGCCACGCCAGCACGAACATGGCCCCGATCGCAATGGTTCTTGACACGACAGGGCGTGTGGTCACACACAGGGGATTACTCTCCAACCCCCACCTAACCTCAAGCTGGTAGGTTCCCGGCTTAGGGCTTCCCCACCCTGGCGGCCCGAGCCCAAAATGAAGCTGGCGGGCTATTTTGAGGGTCCGGGTCGGATGGCGAGCGCCCAGCTTATGTTGGGCAGTCTCTTCCCGAGACATGTCGTCGGGGACGAGTGGGCCTCCCGTTTAAGTTTAGCTTCACAGCTTGACTTCTAAGATGGAGATGTCACTCGCGAAGCCGGTCCAGAACCCCTAGAATTTCTTGTGACATCCAGAGCCTCAACAACTGAAACTGGGCCGCCTACAACTCCATGTGACAGGTTTCACCTTTTCGGAAGAGGCTGAAAACGACAGCCCCGCAAGTACAAGCTCGGCCGAATCTTCCAGCCTGTACTTGGAACTCCAAATACAGCTCTACTACTGAGTTTCCAGTGGCAACAACAAATGTCTGCCTGGACAGCTTGCTTCGCTGCCTCCTTTGCTTGCTTTGATGACTCCTCAACCTGCACACAAAGCTTTCAAAGATGTAGGGCCAATGGAACGCCAAAGAGGATTCTGGATTTACAACCAGCAGATATTGCATTGCTCAGTCAATCGGTGACGAACCTCTCCCAGGCATCTGTCCACCCTCAGCTGAGTGTTTCGCTCTCAGCATGACCCTAAACTGCATGTGCCTTTGGTCCCCTGCCGCTACAAAAAACCCAGAAAGCCCGAACTGTGAAGCTGCGCCGCTCCCTTTCGGCTTCTTCAATGACTTCCTTGGTGACCACCTGCTGCTCCTGGCCGAGTATGGGGTCTTGACATCTTTAGAGGTCGTGCTTCATGACAAAGGAAGTATGGCTGTTGCTGGCCCATTCCTAGGCATAAGGCTACAAAGCCCACAGCCGCGGTTCTCTGTGCTTTGGGCCAAGGGCTTCAAACGGCAAAATCCCTCAACCCGGGCAGTTCCCAGGGGCCTGCGGCGGCGGCATACTTCGCTCTGTCAGAAGGCCAGGGAGGCCAGGCAGGCCAGGGGGCTTAGAGAACTCGTCTCTCTCAGTTGAACCACAAAGCGTCGCTGGCGGGCGAACTGGGCAGAGGGAGGTCGGCCACGTCGGCCACACGGTTCGTTCCCGCGCTGTCAACAAGCAGCCAAGAAATGCATATGCAGATCATACAGTCATCAGAGAGCCAACAGCAAGGCACCGCAGATCCCAGTACCCTGTGCACGGCCCCGCCTTCTCCAACTCCTGATTCAAGCTGGGCAGGTGCTTTCAACTGTAGATTCGTTCGACTCACTTTCCAGAAAACTGACAGCCTCCACAAGATGCGCCGTTACTTCTGTGTCATCAAGTCTGTTCAGCATCTCTTCCTGGGTTTTGGATGACTCACTGACTTGCAGGAGGACGGTCCTCTTCACGTCTTCGGGCAAGAGATCCTGCGAGGTGCCTGGCCAAAAAAACCGGGGAGTTAGCTGTATTTGGGGTTTTGGCTCCAGTTGCATTGCAAACTTCATGCGGCTGTCTGCAATCTATGCACAGACCCTGACCCACGCAGTACCACTGCTGCTGCAGCTTACGCAGTGTAGGCAGGAAGCGCAAACCACCCTAGAAGACTTCACAAACCAGAGAAGGAGCTATACCTTCAGGGCTTCTCCAAGATCCCAGCTCGTGGAACCAGGCAGCAAAGCAGCTGTGCTTGAGTCCCTTGTTCCTTGGCTTCGGTCATGAAAGATCTCAAAGGATACCACTCACACAATCACACAGCCTTCAAGCACGGCTTGGTGGTGTGGGACTATTCACTCGCAGCGTCTTTCCCTCGACCCACTCGTAGCAGACCTGTGCTCATAAACAATGCAACTCGTGGTGTCTTTGATTGAAGCGGCAGTGTATCATGCACGTGGTGCTTGCAGTGATTCCACCGAGGCCTTGTGGATGTTGGCGGCACTTCGGCGGCGCATCTTCTCCTACATTGAACTACAGTCACACCTCTTCATGAACCCCTTTTCCGGCAACAACACGCAAGGATCCTAGCCCATGCTTACGTGTAAAACCCGATACTCGGCTTATCACTGACGATGCCCAACGTGATTCTGGAGCCTTGGTTTGATAAAAGGACAGCTGACTCGGCCACTGACACGATACCACCCAGGGACTACAGGTGGTCAAACACCGGACTTCAGCTCCACGCACAGATCATAGCATCTACAACAGGAGGTGTCCTTCGCCACGTACTGCGCCCAGGCTTTGTAAATCGAGCTGAACAAGCCTTTCGCCTGGAGCATGGAAATGCAGAACGAAGAAAAGAGCACTCATGAAAAGATCTCTCTATCATGCTGCTCGATCTAGATTGATATCAAAGGCAAGCCCGTTGTTTCCTTGACTATGGAAGATAAGATTCCACAATGTTGATCTGCAACCCGAAAATAGATTGGGCTGTTGGTGGAACTTACCAACAGGATTCAGGAACTGCAGGACCAACTCTCAAAAGCATGTGGCATATCGCTAAAGCTCGATTCTGAACCCCTTGCGGCAAGCGGCAAGAAACTAACTAAGCCTTCTTCCTTGAAGCCCCCGGGTTGTTGGGACTCTGCAACAGGACTGTCTACAACCCCTGAGGAAATACAAGTTTGGATCCCTTGAAGAACAAGCTTCGCGGCACAACCCTCGGCAGAGCATCAGATCATATCGGAGCTCTGCGCAAGAACTTGGGCCTTGACGAACTAACCGAACTATCGCAGGGTTTACGGCTTAGGGTTTAGGGTTTAGGATTTGGGGTCAGAAGTTTCGGGGCAGGGCTCAAACATGTCCAAGCCCTCATCTGGGTGCATGACGTCTCCCATCTGCCATTGCCGAAGGAGCAGATCCTAAGAAGTTGGAGGACAGCAGCCCTAAACCCTAAACCCTAAACCCCTTAAAGCCTGATGCCAGTCACCATGGGACACAACCTGAATGCCGACCATCAGATTGTCGACGCTCACAAGTACCCGAGAACCCCAAAACCAACGTTGGGAAGCGCGTAACACGTATTCTCTTGTAAAGGAAGAGTGCTGTTGCGCCTAAATACTCCTGCTTCAGGTTCCACGGATGCTCTTTGTAGGGCTAGCCTTAACCTCTAGGCGTTGGATGCCTCAAAAAGAAACATGGGGGGCCCCTTGAAAGAGCCTTCTTGACTGCCGTCCTAGCGGCATGCTGCTGTCGCACGTGCTCCTTGTGGGCCGCCGCCTGCCCAGGGGCCCAGCCCACCCAGAGCTGCAGCTGAAGCTTCACGTGCATCGAAAGTGAACACTCACATGCATACGTTTCAAGCGTCAGCTTTCAACATCAACATTTTCGACCAGCTGGAGAATCGGCATGTTGGGCAGCTTATGCTTTACTCATGTATAGATAGGGATTGCAAGGGAGTCATTTTGGTAATTCGTGTGAGGCGACAGAGTATTTTGTGGGCCCCCCCTAATTCCCCTCCCGGTTTCCTCAGTACGGTGCTCCCCCCTTTTGCTACGTTTCGGGTTTGTATTCACGGGCCAGGAATTTGGTCCCTCGGCTTTGCCTACAACAGCATGGGAAAAAGCCTTGTTTTGGGTGGTGCCCTTCGGTGCCCGCCCCCCCCGCCCCCCCCCCCCCCCCCCCCCCCCCCCCCGAAAACCCCTATGAACCCCCTCCTCGCCTCTGTTGCCCTGTGTCCCAGGTTGGCTATGGACCCCCTGCTAAGGACCTCTCAAAACAATACATGGACCAACCCTGAAACCCGACACCCTCGACCCGAAAAGCCTCGGCGCGAAGGGACAGAGGGTTTAGGGGTTTAGGGTCTCGGCGTTTCGGGTTTAGGGTTTAGGGTTTGGGGTTTGGGGTTTGGGGTTTAGGGTTTAGGGTTGAGGGTTTAGGGTTTAGGGTTTGGGGTTTGGGGTTTGGGGTTTAGGGTTTAGTGGGTTCTGTACTTGTCGAAAGCGATGGCCGACAAACTTCTCAGCTGCTCTGGAAAGTCAGCTGCCGGAGACCATGCTCTGAATCGCGCCAGCAAGAGCGGAGACTTGGGTCAGGAATTGGGCCACTGCAACACGTCTCACTCTTGTGTTCGAAATTCCCCAAACGGTTGAGGGCCCAAGGGCAGAAAGGAGCAGAGAGGCAGACCCAGATCCCCATCAATCGAACCTTCTCTGCCGCTTCGGCCAGCTGATCGTCGAACCGCTGCCTGGTGAGAGGAGCGCCAGGCAAGTCCTCTGCTTCCTTGTTGGGGAAATATTTAAAAAGATCATGTCTATTCCTTGTTGGGAATGTAATATCACAAACATGTAAAAATTATAACCTCGGATCTGGAATGAAGGCTCCAAGCCCACAGGCTGCAGCGAGCACTCAGATAATTGACAGCAAACAAGAAGGTTGTTTTTTGTCGCTGAGGGCTGCCCTGCTACTGCCCCTAAGCCTAGCCCCCAAGAAGGTACGCATCGTCAGGGGTCTCTCAAGAAGGAGCAAAACCATCGGAGTTGTCGTACTGGGACCCAAAGAGGGATCACATCTCGGAGAACTGACCGATTGCAAGAAGACCACTGGTCTTGGAACCGGGACACCAGTGGCCTGTGCGCATCCAGCTCTGCCGTCCACTGGTCTTGGATGTCATGGAAGTGCTCCTGGGCCCCAACAAGCGGAACCTCACGAAACCCTCACGCAGAGGACTCAGGGGCTTTTAGGAGTTGTTTTAATGGCGCTTCAGTGGGGTTCTAAGGCTCGGGGGCTTTGGGCTTTTGCGTCCTCGAACTGGCGCCCGGTCTTCATCAGGTTGGCCTCACAGACACTGCGCGCGAGGCCAAGGAACGGCTGGCTGCATGGGCTTACATTGCTTAGAGGTGACGCCGTGGCACGCTCACCTTGGCTTTCAGGTTCCTAGAAACCAACACCCCTACAGTTCACCTAGAATTCAAGACAATTCATGGTTCTGCTGCACACTGGCAACCTGGAAGCGCCAGGTGTGGAAGACTCCTGCGATGAAGCCCGCCCTGCAGCCGTGGCTTTCGCATGCCGAACCCGAAAACACATTGAGCTTAGAGCATCAGGAGGATAGCTCGATGCAGCACCCACAAGAAGACACAGCGAGTACGCTGGAGTCCAGGTTTTGGAGGCAGATTCCGATGTGCAGTTGTTTGCCAAGGCGCCGGATGATGAGCTGGCTTTCCATGTCGCGCCTGGGCTGGGGTTTCAGCCAGGAATCTCCTACTGAACTGTGTAGTTACTTTAAAGGGGAAACGAGCCTCCAAGTGAGTCCCGGAACGACCCGATATGGCCACGTGATGGGGGTTTGCCATTTCAGGGTGTCGCTGCGCGGCACAATGCTGTCGTGCCAGCAACCCTCCACCACTATCCGTGGCATAGGTGCAACATGCGTAACCTGTCATGTTCCCAGCTTCATGTCCGCGTCTGACCACCCAAACTACATGCGTCTTCCCAGCGGGCCGGGCTCCAAACAGGATCTTGCAGTTGATGTCCACCAGGTTGTGAACCGCTAGGATGCCAGGACGTGAGATCATGGCCTGCCACATGGCATCAAGATTGTTCCCTAGGGCCACATGCCATTATGCTTTCCTCTCCTTCAGACTTTCTACCCTAAACCTTAACCGATAAGAGAGAAAAGGGCTCCAAAGGGCCTACAAACCCTAAACCCTAAACCCTAAACCCTAAACCCCACCGTCCGTGCCTCAGCCCCCAGTGGCAGCTGCAGGTCCAACACTCCACCCTGGTCGTGCAGCCCGATTGCCTCCATGGCCTTGGACCAGCGGTGCTTAAGGGACTCTTCTGCAGTTTAGGGTTTAGGGTTTAGGGTTTTTTGGGGTTTAGGGTTTAGGGTTTAGGTTTTAGGGTTTAGGGTTCAGGATTTCGGGCCTAATTTAGGGGGAACCCCCATGGAGCTACTTTCGGCGTGTTTGGGAGCCAGCAAGGAAGGTGGCGGGTTAATGGCGCCTAGGAGCCCATAACTCCTGGAGCATGCGCCCCTGACCATCCCTGATAAGCAGCAACAACTGCCTGCAACCCGAAACCCGGATGAAGCCCCAAACGAAACCCCAAGCCTCGGAACCTCCCCACTCTCCAGCTAGGGGCTCAAGGTTTCATTCTACTGCAGGGTTTCATACACTGTGTCAGCGTGTCTCTGGGAATGAGGTGGCCAACAGGGGGCAGTTCAGCCTCTGTGCTTTTGTCCTTCTACTGGGCACACACCAGCACAAACAACACGTTGAGCTTCCCACACCTTTCACACGAGCGTCTTCAACCATCCTGTCAGTGGCTCGGAAGGTGTCGTAGAGGGCAAAAGGACATTCAGACGTTCAGAGAGAAAATGCAGGAGAGCATGGGTTCAGGCACTGTGTTGCCAAAGCTCACCGAAGCATGCCACGGAAGATGTGCAGGCGTTGCTGCGGGCTATTACCAACAGCCATACCAAAAGACATGCCAAAAGCCATGCCAAAAGCCGTGCCAACAGCCATATCGACGCCCAGTCCCCAGAGATTCTTACAGTAAGGCACGGACTTCACAAGCTCCACACGGTTGGACACGGACTCCAATGCGCGAGAGTCACGATCTGCCTCGGCAAGCCGGGAGTGCCGACCAAGGATGCCCCCTGTTCCTCAACGCACAACCCAGCCTTTAGCATCAACAAGGCTTCCTCCTTCAGGCTACTTAAGAGCAAGCCTTGGCGCAGAGCCATGGCCCTGCTGTGAAATGTGAAGCGGAAGGGCTAGAAAAGCTCAACCAGTCTGTTGAGGAAAAGTTCCCTAGCCCGATGAAAGTGAGCTCCAAAGCCGCGAAAGAACCTGCTAAGCCGCCACAGCCCAAGCGCGTGACCTTCATCTCCAGGGCAAGTCCTGCTACCTCCTGGAGGAGGGATTCGGTTGGCTTCGGATCTCCAGGCTTCGCGGCATCTTCGTGGTCGGTGTAGTGAGCCAAAGCATTTTGGCACGAGAGCGAGAGCGAGAAAGAGGGAGAGAAGGGAGAAAAGAGTGAGAGACAGAGAGAAAAAGACAGAGAGAGAGAGAGGGAGAGAGAGAGAGAGAGAGCGAAGACAGGCACAGCGGCATTCCCCTGGTAAGAAGACAGGTCACCACACATGTCTGATGTTGAGGACTGCTTAGCCTCCGATTGCCTTATGGCGAGGCTAGAGCCATGTATTGCACATTGCTAAAGCTCCTGGAATGACCACGGACCTCTCTTGTTTTCAAACCATTTTGGGAAACACAAAAAGTCGGCAAGAACCACAAGGTTGTATCTCTACACAAGCATGTTCACTAGCCCGAATCCCCTGAAGTCCTGCCGAATCTGCCGCGACAGCTGAGACCAGTCGGCGCTCTGGCCCTTCGGACGGCAGGTGCTTTGGGGCTAAGCCCTGTGGCATTGAGGCGAACTTTTGCCCTCCCGGGGTGAGCAGCTGAAAAAAAAACAACCCGGTTCCGGGCAGCAATGGCATCTGCTGTCTGCGTAGCCAGTACATGCCAGTGCAGCACAGCTGGGTCCTGAATGACTGTCGAGGCATTGGCCAGTTCAGCAGAAAGCTGATTGACCTTGACAGGTGGCGAGGCTGCAAGAATACCATAGCACTGATGGGACGGCTATATTCAACAAGGCTGCGCGCCCGTACTCAAGGGACATCAAATGAACGATGCGGCGTACCCCACGCGGTAGGAAGTACGTGAGAGGATGTCTGGAAAATGGCACGACATGTTCGCATGTACAGCATAGCACCAGACAAGCACATATCCCCCAATGGCTTCACTTGGCCCTTCCTGGGAACTTGTGGCCCAAAAAACAAGATCCCCCAACAAGCCACAGATAGGGACCCCTAAAGCCGTCTAACTTCGCGCAGCAGCATAGGCTGGGGATGAGACTGCCGAGTTGCGGCTGACCTGATGGCATCGGTACGGGGCGCACCATCCCCTGGGTGGCCCTTAAAACCCCTCTGCAAAATACTCCTGAATATGATCCTCTTCAACCCAATAATAATCAGGGAAAACCCTGAGGTCTGAAGCTTGTCCAGGCCTTCTCCATGAGCTCAGCCATCATGCTCTGCCGCCTCTTTGCAAGTTGGCAGGCTCTTGGAGGTGCGCAGCGGAGGAATCTATGCTCACGGGCATTCAGCTTCCAACACATGGGCCCTGTTCTGACATTCAGGGCAGGGTGCCTTGATAGGTTAGTTTGATCATCGAGCCCTTCCCTCCAAGATGGACCTCGGTGCTGCTTGACCTTTTGCGTGGCAGAAAGTCCACAGTGTTCGGAACCGCGCAGAAAACTCAACCTCCAACCCGACACCCTCCTTGCCTCTGGGAGTCTTCCTCCAGGCCTTTGGCAAGCTGCCTCCAATCGAAGAGCAGCTACAGCTATGCTTCAGATTCAAAACCCTTTGCGGGGATGTCCTTGACATCTTCTGACTCGGCACTCGAACATGCTGGCTAAGAACGGCAGGTGCAGGCATATGTCTACCAGTACTAGCACATTACCGAACAATGTCGTACTTGTTGTTATAATATCGTGTGGCATCCGTTCATCTCGTACAGGATCTTATAGAGTACCCTAATAGCATCGTATCTGTTGGCATCGTACAGTGTCTTGTGCCCATCATAATTCTGAACCCCGTCACAATCCATTCGCAGCCTGTTCTCCGCGAGTGCTTGCTGCAGCTGCTTCCTTCAAGCACAATCTCGAATGGTCTCAGTGGGAGTGTCGTACCGTGGTTTAGGGATGTGTAAGTCAGGTACTTCTCCCTACCTCCCCAAGCACTCCTCTGAGCCTTAAGCCCCAGAAACCCTTGAACAGGTTGGTACGCAATCCTGCACATGCTTCGGTGTCTCACAACAGGCAACCCCAAACCCTAAACCCTAAACCCTAAACCCTAAACCCTAAACCCTACACCCTACACCCTAAACCCTAAACCCTAAACCCTAAACCCTAGCTCAAAATGAAATTCGAATGCCTCTGCGACTCGTAGGCAGAGGTGATGTCGCTCTCGAGCCGGTCGAAGCGCTCCTCCTTGAGTCGTTCGCGGAGACCCTAGACACCTGTGAGACCTGAACCCTCACTCCTTGGGCATCCCTATGCCTACAGTAGTGTATCCCAGTCCCCCAAATCAACTTTTGAGAAATTTGTAGACTCACAGCCAGACTCCCTGAACTTCCCAAAACACCTCGGCCACCAGTTGAACTGCATCCTGAGACACCCGAGCTGCGAGCTTTTTTAACAGCCCTTATGCCTGGCCTGGCTCTTCACAATCGATGCGACACCCTCCACCTGGAGCCAAGTCTTGCGCAGGTTTAGGGTTTAGGGTTTAGGGTTTAGGGTTTGGGGTTTAGGGTTTAGGGTTCAGGGTTCAGGGTTCAGGGTTTAGGGTTTAGGGCGTGCCAAACGGAAGCGCGCTTTGGGAGCGCGCAGTAGTCTGCAGACCTACCCACCCCAAGACCGCCCACTTACAACTCTCAGGAGTTAAGACCTTCGTTTGTTTTTTTACAAAGCATCACATGGGTCAGCACTCACGCCCTTTTGAAACTGTGCGTGGACAGCTTGCCAGGGAGGGCCACGGAGCAGGCCAGGCTGGCCAGGTGCGTGGACCAGGCACAAAGCTGCAGGAGGGTCAGGACAAAAGGCCACGGAACCAGGGCCAGGGCAGGTAGCGGCAGAGCAGTTCTGGGGCCACAGCCCTGCCTGTTGGCGCAAAGGGGCTAAGGCCAAAAAGGCAGGGTCAGGGAACAGAGCACAAAGGCAGTGCGAACAACTTGGGTTGGCCCAGGAGGCAGGGCCAGGGACACAGGAGGCAGTGTGCAGACAGCTCGTGTTGGCGGGAAGGGGCTAAGGTCAAGGAGGCCAGGAGGTTAGGGCCAGGCCATGAACCGGGGAGCAGGAGAAGGGGGAGCACTTTTGTTGAGCCAGCCCTGCCTCCCCCAACAAGACGGCCCCTGCTCCCCACAGCCCAGCAGACGGGGGCCAGGGCCTAGGGGTCTCCAAAACCCTCCCAGGGGGCCTCCAATGCAGGACATGAGGTTCAGGGCCAGCCTGCTCGGTCGCCCCCCTTGGGCTCCCTCGCAGGGTCTCACTGAGCGCTCGACCAGCGCCCGCCCCCAAAAGACAAGAGAGGGCGGGTTTAGGGTTTAGGGTTTAGGAGCTCAGCTCACAACCCTGCCATAGATCTCGAAGCCCGCCCGTGTCTTGGTGGTGTGCATGGAAGTATGTAAATACACAGTGAAGAGGGTTGCGACACCTGCAGGACCAATATCTTGGGTAAACAAGCGAGCTGAGAGCTGCAAACCAGAGCTCACCTTTGCCAACTCCTCATCATACTGACATATACTGACTGCACCTCCGGCTTCTAGTTTACGAAGTTGCCCAGCAGAAGCCCTTCTGAGTGCAAAAAGCTTACTGGAGGCCCTCCCGCATGACCGAGACGCCCGATATCGTGTGTGCACAAGGCACGCGCCTGCTTCTCCAGCCGTGCACTGGCCGCAGGGTCGGGGACCTGCCAGGACAAATTGAAGAGCAACGTTGGGGTTTGGGGTTTATGGTAGAGGTGCCGAGATCAAGAAGGCAACGAGAATTCGTGGTTGAAGCCGATTGAAGCTTCGGATTTGACAGTGTAGGGGTGAAAACGTTCGGGTTTGGTGTTTGCTCGGAGCAGACTGCTTGTAGCCTGAGGGGTGGGAATCTGGGATCCATCCGCCCCCTTCAAGCCTCTCAGACGGATCACCTACGCAGAGCATGAGACAAACGCTCTCCCTCATGCTTGAGGGAGCGCTTGCATATTTTTATGCCCTCGCCCTCCACGCACCATCGTATGCCGTCGGCGTCTCGGCCGCATGCCACTTGTAGCCCAGGTCGAATTCGGATTTGCAGCACTTCACATTCAGCTTCAAGACAGGTTGCTCATTCCGAGATGGTACATACGTGTTGGCAAGGGCAGCAGCAGCAGCAGCAGTAGCAGAGGCCACAGACCCTCGCTGACAGTCCTGTGAAGTCAGACACGGGGGCATCTCTTGTTCTGTGGCTGCTTCTCTCATGGCTTCAAGCTGAATTCTTAGGGGATTAAGGGGGATGAAGGATGATGAAGGGCTTCAGGATTTAACCCTTCTGCTCGGCCTTCAGCGAACTTTTCAGAGCAGCCGCCTGCCTCCGCCTCAGCAGCTCAGCACCACATGAAGCTTTTGCCAGACGGCTTCCAAACCTACAGTCCATGCCGTACAAACTGGGCTCCCGGCTGCTCCGTTTGGAGCCTCTCAGTCTCTGCCTGAAGGTCCTGCAGAGTGCCTCGCCTCAGTGAGCACTTCTCTCAAAAATGTGACGGGCCCATGCCGAATCCTTGGGTTCTCGATGCTTTGGAGGTTTGGAGGCTCAAGAACTCCTCCGGTGCCAAGCTTGCGGCACCAGAGACTTCGTGGGTTTGGCAGTTTGGGGAAGTAGGCTGGCCTGACAAGTCCAGAACGAATCCGCAAAACCTCAACCAAAACCGCCCCGTAAAGAAGCCTTGAGGCTTCACTTAATCAAGGTTTTATCCACGCAAGAAAGCAACAGCGCAAGGGCTCTTGAAGGCTCCGGAGTGCACTGATCTGGAAGTTAAACTATGGACACCCCACCTGCTACTAAGGGTCAGCCTCCTTAGAATGCGGTGTAGATACCCAAGCGAACGGCACGTGCGCGGCGCACGCTTTGAGGGGGCAGGCCCCAAATAAAACTGCGCCCGATACTGCCTGCCAGGGAACAATTCGTCTGTTTGCACCTTTTGCCTCGCATGTTGCGAGGAGAGGTCCTCTGCGACAAATTAAGATGAGCAACAAGCCAGAATTCAGGAGTCTCAACCCACCGGCCTGCCAGCCCCTTTGCCCTACCTCAACGCCTATACTTTGAGCTTCCCCTTTCGCGACGCTCCTAGCACTGACCCGTCAACAAAGCGTAGTGCAACACAAAGCGCGGACAATGCGGAACAATGCCCTGGCTCGTCTCCTGTCTGGTATTCGATGCATCGCTTCGCATCTCCTGCACCTGGTCAACACAGGGGTCGAAGGAATCCAGAAACATATAGCATCCCCTTGAAGCCCTCAACCTACTGGCTCTAGGGTTTAGGGTTTAGGGTTTAGGCCATCAAATTCCAAACATGGAACGATCATAGGGCTGACTACTTCCAAAAATCACTTCTGCACAAGACAACACTATCCTCCACATGGCGTCAGGGAATCCAAGCACTTGCAAGCCTGGCGCTGGAGTCGATCGCGCTCAGCAGCGAGGCCCCTTGCAAGGAGACGATCTTCCGCATGGTGACATGCAGACTCTTATGAGGGTTCCGTTTAGAGTGCAGTGCAGGCTCAGGGTTCTTTCTGCTTAGAAGCTTCGCGTTCAACGGGGAGACCATGACAGCCACACCTTCGACATCTGCTCTTAGGGCTGACAGAAGGCCCATGGACCCGAAGGAGAGGAGTTCGTTTAGCAACTCTCCAAGATGAGCCAAGAATTGTGTCTCTGGCACTTTGCATCCCGTGGCCTTGCTTCTTGATTCGTGCGCTTTATGAATGTGCCATGTCCGGTATCACGATTGTCAAGCCCGACAAGCCTGTCAAGAGCACGGAGCCGCTACTTAAGCCACGAAATGGCCAAGAGCTTCAGCCCACCTCACTTGGAAAGTGACCTCAGCCACTTCGCCAGGTTGCTACCCGCAGTTTCTTAATGTTGTGAAATTCGCCTCGGCCCAGACCACCCCCTTCCCAACCCGTCCCACCCAACCCAAAACCCTGAAAGGGACCTGGCCCTCGTCTGCGATACACACGCTACACCCCGTGTTGGGCCGGCCCGGCTCGAAATCTGATCGGTGGGTGCCTCAGTGAGTCGCGCGCCGACCCGCTGGTGGCCGCCATGCTGTCATCCCCCAGAGTCGACGGCTTCTCCTGAAAAATGGCTGCAGCCCAACGTTACAGGAATGCACCAAAAACCGACCCGAACAGACACTACACACCACCCAGCAGCAACGTCGTTCCTCATGTTGTTTTACCCATAAGATGGTTTGCCACCTGGATCCTCATACATCCAACATCCCCATCAGCGTAGAAGCAGTAGATCAACGGAAGCTCCTGCACGGCCCTGTTGGAAGAGACGTGGCTGTGGTCCCTTACCTACTGCTGAATTCCTTTAGGCCAGTCCTTGGCTGGCGCCGGCCTGGGCTGAGCCGGCTGAGGCGTCTCCTCTCAACCAGAACAGCATCCTCATAGGTGATTCATACACAAAACTGGCTCATCTCCGGGTACATGGAACAACCAGGCCAGAATGAATTATAACCTGGCTCTTGGCGAAGCACCGAAACGAAGCTCTGAACGAAGAAGAATACTGCGCCACGAATATTACGCTAAGAGGTCTTTCTACAGACAGACACAGACAAACAAAGAGAGAAAAAGAGAGAGACAGAGAAAAGAGCAGACAATCAGTTCCTCCCGCACCCAGTTCCATCTGAGCCCCTAAGTTGCATGACCCTTCAGAGAAAACCTGCACGAGAACCACTTCTTCGCGGGATTGCACCCTGAACCCCCAACCAACGCCTGCTGGCGCCAAGGGCGCTCTCTGCCCGAGCCCGAGGTCGTGAGCGGCTCAACTGTGCCAAGGTTCAGGTCAAAGGTTTGCACGATGTTCTGAACAACTCTGAGAAGCCGTCCAAGGGACCCCTACTTTTGTGGGAAGTTCGTACGTCGGGGCAGGGCTCAAAAGCTTGGAGGCTGCCTCACCAAGATCGGAGACATGCACAGGGCAAGTGTTGAAGAGAGAGGCGAATCCCCAAACCCCAGGTTGGCCCTCCAAACTCTTTGAGAGGATATTCAAGAAAAAGAACCCACTGAGATATTATGGGGGGGCTTTCCGAATTGTAAGGGAATATGAAGGAATCCTACTATTTGGGGACTATATTAGGGGTCCCCATACGGGTATTTCCCAAAATAGGGAGACCCTTTTGATACCCCGAATAGAAGAGAGACCCCTTAAAAAGGGACCCCCGAAAGGGTACCGAGAGAGAGAGAGAGAGAGAGAACCCCTATTTTCGTCAAACTCCAGACCTCAAAACCTAAACCCTAAACCCTAAACCCTAAACCCTAAACCCTAAACCCTAAACCCTAAACCCTTTACTTGGACTCAGTGGAGTCGAACACAGGGGGCGCCTTGCCAATATCGCTGCGGGCTCACCGAAGCTTCGGAGGCTTCCGACTTCGGGGCCTAGGCCGAGCCACGAAGATAGGTTTTAGGGTTTAGGGTTTAGGGTTTGGGGTTTGGGGTTTGGGGTTTAGGGCTTAGGGCTTAGGGCTCAGGTCTCAGGGCTTAGGGAATTGGGCTTAGGGCTTAGGGCTTAGGGCTGTTCCACAAAGACTGCGGCTTCTCCCAGGTCTCTCGGCTCCCGACAACGTTCAATGCGCGGCGATAAGCCGTTGGCTCCACCTTCCCGAAGAAAGGGTCAAATTGTTGCCCATGGACAACTTGAGCAAAACGCCCAGGCTCTACTATTTGGTCAAAATGCCTGCATGCAGTCAGCATGTCAGAAGTGGCAGTATACTCTCAGCATTGCACACTCTGCAGTGACAGCGATGCCTCGCGCTTCCTGCCGCAGTTCCGGCAAAACGCCGAGTCCTCCAGGAACCTCGATTGGTTGCAGATGATGCACGGCAAGACATTCCACAAGGCCCCTCCAGGAAAAGTTTAGAGTGTAGGGATCAGATCCAACATGGCTTCCAAGGATCTGTGGCAGCTCGAAAACCTTCAAGGCCCAGATGCACGCCCCACGCTCAGTGTCGGGCACATTGCCACAGTACTTGCACTGCTTCTCCGGCAAGCCCTCAATGCATGGGCCACATGTCAGAACTCTCAGAACTTTCGGACTTGTGACGTCAACGCTCACGACCAGCGCAGCAAAACAAGTAGCTCAGGGTGCAGCAAGCGTGGCACCGTTGTTCCTCAAAAAGTTGCTTGGGAAACGCGTGATGGTCTGAGGTGCATTTCTTCACTCCGGGTGTGGCTTTCATGTGAAGATCCAACTTGGAGTGCTCAGTGCTCACAAGCTGTTGCATTCAACCTCTGCATGTCTTGCTGTGCGAGCCTCTGCACAGGTCAGGCAAAAGTCTGGTGCCCTTGCTGACGGCCAGTCTACATTAGGCACGTTCGACAATTTAAGCAAGCTGGAGTCAGGCTGCGGCGGGCGCGTTCCCACTCCAAATGAAACCTCATGCAGTCTCATGTCTCAAGGGTAGGGAGAGGAGCCAGGATCCTACAGGCTGCAGCTTCTCGCCCTGGCGCCCTATCATCCAGCCACGTAACATGCCCTACTTTGTGGCGCAATGTACTCAAGCGATGCTATGCACCAACTTAAGCGCAGACAGTGATGACGATGCAAGAAGACCCGAGAAGGCCTCCACAGGCTCACGCTTCTCCTTGGTTTAGGGTTTAGGGTTTAGGGTTTGGGGTTTAGGGTTCAGGGTTTAGGGTTTAGGGTTTAGGGACTCTTAGGGGTTTTGGGGTTTTGGCGGCACCGCGGCACGTTGACAGTGCAAGGATCCCGGTCCGATATGCGCAGTCTGCATCCCTGTGCTGCGAACTTCACTGCCTTAAAAGCGCCTCCGGCATCCATGCTACCTTCACAAGCTGCCCACATCCTTCTCTCCCTCAAGACATGGATATCCGTGCCACAACAAGCCAACACCAGCTGGTCGGCTAAGCCGTCAAGGCCCAGGCCACGACTCCATACCTGGCTACTTGGAGTGGGTGTTTCTACTCTTTCGTTCCAGTCTTGGAGTACTAGTGGTATCTACTAATATTCCCAGTATTGTCCGCCATGCTTTCAGGCATCTGTAGCCGATGTAAGGGCTCGTCCGAGATACTGCCCCTCAAGGACAGGAAGGCTTGTCTCCCAACTATCCCAATGCTCACCATTGATGTGTCCAATGGTAGCCTCAAGTGAGCCGGGAATAAGTCCTAAAAAATGAGATCTACAACATGAGCCCAGTACGGACCGAACGTTCGTGCAGAAACACACAGAGGTGGGTTTGGCAATGTTGGCACTCCCCAGAACAGCCTCTTCCGCGGCGAGTACACCGCCATGTTCTGGGGGTCACCCAGCCGCCTCACTGTCGAATTCGAGAGGCTTTCTGCAGTTCTACGAAAATACCTTGCCTGCCTTGGGGTACCTTTTGTTGTCTTGGGGTGCGTTGGGGTGTGCCTTGGGGGTGCCTTGAGTTTTCGGGTGGAGGGTTTAGGGCTTGCCGCTGACGCTGGCATTGTGCTGAATCTCGGGATGAGGGTTTCGCACTGGATGAGGGTTTCAGGCTTTTGGCTTGCACTTGGGTGTGAAAGGAAGCGGAATTTCTCATAGCCACGAACTTCAGGGTTCAGGGGTTGAAACCCTCTCCTTCTTGGGTTGGGCTCTGGGTTTAAGACTTTGGGTCTTTGGCTTCCGGGTTTGCTCGTTTGGGGTTAGGATTCTGGGATTGCACTACACAGCTGTCGCTTTGGGCTTCGGGGTATTGAGAGTGCTTCAAAATATGCGATTATGGATGTTACTCGCCCCTCAACAACATATGCGACTCAAACTCAGAGCTTGGGAAGGCTTAACCACAAGTCACAGCCGCCTCGGCCAATTCAACTACCAGTCTGGCGCAGACCCTAAACCCTAAACCCTAAACCCTAAACCCTAAACCCTAAACCCTAAACCCTAAACCCTGCATCGGGCATCCTGGGGGCCGCGCTGCTGTGGGGAACTGCTGGCGGTGCTTAGCCTCGGCTTCGGGAAAGCAGACATCTGGAGGTTCCGAAATCCGTGCCCTACAGGTACCTTCTTGGGGTCCTCATTCGAAGGGAATCCTACTATTTGGGGCCTACATTAGGGGTCCCATATCCCTAACCCTAAACCCTAAACCCTAAACCCTAAACCCTAAACCCTAAACCCTAAACCCTAAACCCTACGAGGGGTCCCAGGGTCCCATGTTTTCGTAAACCCCCATCTGCCATCACCCAAAATCGAGTCGTGTCGGGCCCGCCACTGCGTCGGCGTAGCGTACATGAGACAACCTGTGCAATCATTGCAGGGTTTAGGGTTTTGGGTTTAGGGTTTAGGGTCTAGGGTCTAGGGGTTAGGGTTTAGGGTTTAGGATTAGGGCTCCATGAACTGCACGGCTTCCGCTGCATGGTCCGAAGGTCCCCCCTCTCCCCCCTCCCGTGCCAAAACAAAACACCAACACGCTGAAAGCCTCGGAAGCTATCGGTAGGTTGGGTTGTATCCCCCATCAGGCTTCCACGAGAATTAATCGGTTTCTTCTCCAGTCACAACCAAGCTTTCAAGTAGGCTTCAAGGCTTGCGAGGTGAACAAGACGTGGGGCTTCTGGATCCATCCTGCCCATCTCTTGTTAGCCTCGCCTTCAGCCCAAGATCAAAAGATTTTCAACAGGGTTTAAGTCTTTAAGCATAGTGGCTGCAATGGCCCTAAACCCTGCAGACCCTGAAGTGCCTTGGCTGCAAGAGTTCTTCCAAGACTTTCAGGGTGGGTGTGTGCGTGCGTGCGTGCTTTTGGTGGTGGGGGGGGGGTGCCTTTTACCGGATTTAGGGTTTAGGGGGAAGGCATTTAGAATCCAGAGTTAAGAGAAGGCTTTTTGCAATCCAGGGTTGAGAGCCCTGCACCAGAGACCCCGCAAGCTCTCAAGCCCCGTTCGGCCTCCTCGCTTCAGGCTAGGAAGCGACCCAAACTCCCCCAACTACCCACCAGAGCAGGGGCGCGGCGATCACCAGCGTTTAGGGTTTAGGGGTTCGGGGTTTCGGGTATGGGGCCACTGTTTTATTTGGGCATCCTGAACACTCCATGACCCACCCTGCAGCATTCTAAGTAGTAGGCTTTGCTGTTTAGGGTTTGGGGGGTTACAGCAGCCAGAGAACAACATTTTTCTACAGAATTATGAAAATATGCGTCCAGCACACGTCGTCGAAGGGTTGACAACGAGGTTGTTACGACGAGGACTCAATAGCATGTAGCTTGGAGGTTTCATTCGCGTGGGTCAGGGCCCACGGACCCAGGGATGCGATGCCCAGATTCTGCCGTTCACCTACATTGACAGGCCTCGCCCCAAAACCCAGAATGACACCTTCCCGATACTGACTTGTATCACTAGGTATCAGGAGTCATCACCTGCTCCTAGCAACACCAAGGCTGGTGGGGCACCTTGAATCCTGGGACTCTGAATGGCATCACGTAGCCCTGAAGGCCCTGAGCAGCAAAGCAGACAGCGCAGCCGCGTGGAGTCGCACCGTTTCTTGGCGGATGCGGCCCCTTCCTGCTCAGCTGGTGGGACTGAAAGCTTTCATTTGGGGTTCAAGGGGGTCCTCTAGAGGCTTCGGGCTCAAGTTTTGTTAGCTGGGCTTCGGCGCTTGTTGTGTTGGCCAAACGGGGTTGCACTCTTGGGCTCCTCAACGAAATTCCTGGCCTGAGTACTAACACCTTTCCCGGCAACGGAAACGGTTCCTTAATGTGCGCGGATTCACTGAGATCTGTTCGGGACTCTTCGACTCTCGGCCTTCGGCACGACTGGGTGAACATCCACACTCCCTGCAACTGTTGGCTTCACTGCCTGGAAGGACTGAAATAGTGTACTATAGTGTTCTTACTGCCAGCTTTTCGACTCGTGGCCTTTTCAAAACTCCAAAACTTGTGTTCGAAAGTCAGGGCCTGAGGTGACCGCTTCAGAGCAAAGATGTTCACTTTCGGGAAAATGGTGGGACGTCTAGGGGCATTGAAGGGGAATTTTGATGCAGGAGTATGCTATTCTTTGAGCAGAAGTCAAACCCCGAAACATCGAGTCGCATCCATTTTTGCGCCTGTCTGCGGCTGTTTGGGGTATACGTGGCGACAGCTAGCAGAGTCCCAGCAGGGCCCCACGGCGTTGCGCACTCTTCACGTGCATCTTCAGTGCACTGCATCTGGTGTAAGACTAAGTTGCGAAGCATTAGTACCTGAACCCCTTTCTGAACTGTCTGACAGCTCCGTCTAACTCGTACTTGAACTCTGTAGTTTTGGATTACGCCCCCGTTGAACTCTGCAGACAACCGCGGCAAGGGATGCTTCCAACAAGCTTTCCCTTGCGAAAATAGGACTTCCTCTGAGGGCATCGCATGTTCGCAGGATGAGTCTCCGAATTACCCATCTAACGACCTCGTTCGGAGCATAGGGTCGCTTTTTACCGCGAGATGCCCCAGAATCCCTAAGTGAGAGCGGTCTAAGGAATACCTTCATTATGCAAACAAAAACCGCTGACGAACAGGCCAACACTCAACACTATTGCCACAGCGCTACCGCCAACTCCTGGGCGCTTCGAAGCTTCCACGATCAGCTTATGATGGGGGAGTTAGGTACCCTACACAATCCCTTAAAGGGCATATAGGGTAGATCATTCCCTCATTCCCTCATTCCCTCATTCCCTACTAGGAACCAGCAAGTAGTCACAGTCTTCAAGTGTTGCTTACACGAAGACCGGGCACAACGACTAAACCGTGGATTGCATGTTAGCTTAGCTAACGTTGGCTGGTGCGTGGCACCCCTCTACTTTCCCTCATGCCTCGATCGTCCAATGGGCCACATATACCCAATTTGCAGCTCCCAGCTTGACATGTAGCAGCAACACTGACAGTCCCACTCACGCTTGCCCTCCGGCAGCATTAAATTCAGAAATCGTCGCCGCTCGTGGAGCGTTCCCCACGCTGGCTGTAGACGAGAATCTATGGACTCCCCAACATCATCCAGTGCAGATGCGGCAAGAAGAACCGTGAGAAAACAGCATCCAAAAAAAGTCAACAATGAGCTTCTTTTTCTTGATCTGCTTACACAAACGAGTTCAAGGGAATCCTCAGGCACCAGGAATTAGCAGTTGCGATCAGGATGAGCGACGTTCAGATGCACCGATTCACGAAACATCCAAGAACTCCTACGACACTTGCCGCTGCATATGACCTCGATGCACCTGTGTGGACTCGACGTGTTAACGAGTCTCCGCGTCCGTCATCTAGAAGCTTCAGAAATATGTATCAAAGTGCTGAGCCTTCCCAGCACCAGCAACAACTGTTCTTGGACAGTGGCTCCGTCGCTCTCTGGAACCAGCAATCCCATGCTTATTGCCTTCCTGTCTGAGACATTCCAACACCTCCACTTCCAAGCAAGGAACAACTGAAGTTCGGAGTCTCGCAGGGACCGGATATGCTTTGGACATGTAGTTGGTGCCGGTTAGCTTGTGCTTTCGTGTTTTTGCAAGCGTAAAACGCATTTTCCGGAACCTCATGAGTGCAGAACTCCATCTGTCTTGTCGGGTATTTGACATCAACTACATGTCCGAGACGCAACTGTTCAAGGGTCGTTTGAAAAATAGAGCTCAAGCGCGGAATCAAAATATGAGGCTATATGTATATGTATATGTATATGTATATGTATATGTATATGTATATGTATATGTATATGTATATGTATATGTATATGTATATGTATATACATATATGTATATATACATCTGTCTATATATGGAGAGAGAGAGAGAGAGGGCAGGTTGCTGTGGGGCCTGGGTTTTTGCAAACCTACGTTTTGCACGAGTTGGGTCAAATTTAGGCAGGGAACTGGAATGAGGTGGAGTTTCTTGGTTACCTGGTTAACCTAAGAGAGCGGCCTACAAAGTGTAGGGCTTGCCTCCTACATGTAGAATAACTACCCGCATCGTGTATGTACAAAGTGTGTAGGTATTGTATGCAACGGTCGAATTTCTGCCCAGATCGCGTAAATATTTCGGGTTGTATGTATTGTATATCAGATAGCGAAAATGGAGAGGAAAGTGCACGAAAACAATGCGTGAGCCTTTTCCTACACATGCTGACTGAACAGGAGGCCGCATGACAGAGGGGGGGGGGAGGAAAACCTTTGTAGGACCCTACTCCTAATCCTTCTTCGTTCAAGGTTTCGGCAAAGGACCTTGTGCCTCACTCGCTGGACCTTGTGCCTTCAGCGTATTCGCTTAATGCTCAAGCCAATCCTGTTCTCGTCGAAGATTTACGGCCAAATCTTATTCATCTAAGCAAGGCTTAGTGAATAAAATTAAAGGAAAACAATGAATGAGCCGACTCAGTGAGCAATGCCTACAAAGTCTAGGGCTGGCCTCCTGTGGAAATGCAAAGAACATGTAGAAGAACTACCCACGTCGGGCATGTACACAGGGTATATGTGTTGTTTATCAAACAGAACAAATGAAGATGAAAGGGCGGTAATCCTCAAAGCATACGACTAGGAAGTATTTGGGGGCATAGCTATAAGTTTAGAGTTGCGGTTGGTCTTGGGGGGGTGGGGGAGGTGAGGAGGGAGGGGGGGGGGGGGGTTTAGCATATGTATATATGTATATATGTATATATGTATATATGTATATATGTATATATGTATATATGTATATATGTATGTATGTATATATGTATATATGTATAAATGTATATATGTATATTTGTATATATGTGTATATGTATATATGTATATATGTATATATGTATGAATGTGAGTCTGTATATATGTATATCTGTATATATGTGTATATGTATATATGTGTGTATGTGTATATGTGTATATGTGTATATGTGTATGTATGTAAGTGTATATGTACAAGGGGTATACATGTATATATGTACATATGTAAATCTGTATATCTGTATATCTGTATATCTGTATGTCTGTATGTCTGTATATATGTATATGTGTATAACTGTATATTTGCATATGTGCATTGTGCATATATGTATATACGTATATATGCACATGTGTATATATGTATTTATGCATATATGCATATATATATATATACATACATACATATATGCATATATGCATATATGTATATATATGTATTATGTATATGTATCTACGTTTTCTATGTATAAATGTATATGTGTATATACGAATAGATGTACATGTGTATACATGACATATACGTATATATGTATATGTAAACACATATATATAGATATATGCAAACACACCTCGGATGAACAATTGG